CCAAATTAGGATAAGGATCCGGGGCGTCAGGGCTTGGATCGGGATTATTTGATATTAACACGTATCACTTCCACAATAAAACTTGTTTATTTCAATTTAACACTTGTCTTGACTTTTTATTTTAACGATATTACACCTTCTTAGAGTAAGTTACTAACTTAGTTTCTCGATAGCGCCTATACGTATATCTTTATTCGATTCGCAAACTACGCGTGTGACTCTGCGTCTCCGGCGGTATAGGTCGTACGCGGTTCGCGCGGTTACTCTTAATTAATGACTGGATAGCGACTGCCCGGGGTACGTCTTCCTTCCGTTTTTATATTGTTACCTTTTGACCAGAAGGGGCCTTTTTAGGTCAACTCCTTAAGTGCAAGCGATGGAAGTCCAAAGTCCTTTTGCTTCGCTTGCACTTAGGCAACTCTTTTTTGGGGTCGCGCGTGACCTGCAATCTAAAAACTCACCTTTAAAAAAAGGTAAAAAAAGGCGACCAGTTAAGGGCACGCCATTAACAAAAATTATCCATTGCAAACCCATGTAGAATCCTATCCTATTGCAAACCCATGTAGAATCCTATGAAAAATTAATCATTGCAAACCCATGTAGAATCCTAGGCAAAATTAACCATTGCAAACCCATGTAGAATCGTACCCATTGCAAACCTATGTAGAATCCTATGAAAAATTAACCATTGCAAACTCATGTAGAATCCTATGAAAAATTAACCATTGCAAACCCATGTAGAATTGTATTAAAAATTATCCATTGCAAACTTATGTAGAATCCTACATTGCAAACCCATGTACAATAGAATTGTATGAAAAATTATCGATTATAAACCCATGTACAATCGTAACAAAAGTAATGAAATAAAAAAAAATTGCGCCAAGTGAAAGTAGAAACTTGTACCAGTGGAAAATTAAAGTTGCAGACATATATAGAGTCGTATAATGAATCAGTAAAAATTTAAATTTGCAAATGTAGAATCGTACCATAAAAAAACTTATCTTTTAAAAAAAAGATAAACAAGATGCCAAGTCCATGCGCCATGTGAAAAAGAAATAAAAAAATTTTAGTTAAAAAAACTGGGCGCGCTGCTAAGTTTCAAAATTACAATGCACCTTAAAGTAACATTAATTAATTTAAACACAAAACATATTTTAACTGTAATGAGTTTAAAAGTAACAATTTAATTTTAATATTGTTAGAATATTATTTAGCAGCGCTCCCAGTTTTTTTAACTAAAATTTTTTTATTTCTTTTTCACATGGCGCATGGACTTGGCATCTTGTTTATCTTTTTTTTTAAAGATAAGTTTTTTTATGGTACGATTCTACATTTGCAAATTTAAATTTTTACTGATTCATTATACGACTCTATATATGTCTGCAACTTTAATTTTCCACTGGTACAAGTTTCTACTTTCACTTGGCGCAATTTTTTTTTTATTTCATTACTTTTGTTACGATTGTACATGGGTTTATAATCGATAATTTTTCATACAATTCTATTGTACATGGGTTTGCAATGTAGGATTCTACATAAGTTTGCAATGGATAATTTTTAATACAATTCTACATGGGTTTGCAATGGTTAATTTTTCATAGGATTCTACATGAGTTTGCAATGGTTAATTTTTCATAGGATTCTACATAGGTTTGCAATGGGTACGATTCTACATGGGTTTGCAATGGTTAATTTTGCCTAGGATTCTACATGGGTTTGCAATGATTAATTTTTCATAGGATTCTACATGGGTTTGCAATAGGATAGGATTCTACATGGGTTTGCAATGGATAATTTTTGTTAATGGCGTGCCCTTAACTGGTCGCCTTTTTTTACCTTTTTTTAAAGGTGAGTTTTTAGAGATTATATCATTCATTTTTGTATATTTTTATGACCGGAATAGAACAATTATTAAACATGTTTATCTAAACTTCTTTGCTTAAAATGATGTGTACAATCATATCCTAGAATCCTGATCATTCCTCCTAAAGCACCCTATTTATATAAATTTACCCATATGTGTGTGTGTGTGTGTGTACTAATGTCGAGCATTTTTTATACATTTTCTATTAAATTTAGATAAAAGTTGCAGGATTTCGAAAAAGAAAAAGTTGACACAGACTTTTTCCTAAACGGCGATTTTCAAGGTTATTTAAAGGTCACTTATATTTTCAAAATAGAATTACCTTAATTTTTCTCATATAAATCGATTCCTCGCAATATTTACTATAAAAAGTTGTAAAGGTATAATTTTTACATAATCTTACATAAACTTCGAAATATTACAAATATTTTATTTTATGAAATATTTCAGTTTATGTAAAATTATGTTAACTATCTTTTAAATTATTCACTTTTAGCCATCTTACCCTTACAACCTTTTATAGTGAATATTGCAACAAATTGGTTTATATATATAATATATATATAACATCAGTTATTATTAATTGATGTTTACATTTATTTTTAGACTTACTAGAGCTCAAATGCTCCACATTTTTTGCAAAAACTGTTTATTCTACAGATTTCAAATATGCTTTTAAATGATGATTGAATATTTCCTTTTTTTAATTATTTTTATTATTATTTTTCAATCTCAATCAACTTTTATAACTTTATGCCAGCACGATACAAATACATGTGTCTTTATTTTTTTTATTATTTTCATTATTATTTTTCAATCTCAATCAACTTCTATAACCTTATGCCAGCAGGATACAAATACATGTATGTCTTTATTATTGTATCAACTCTTGTCTTTTCCATGTAACCATGTCTTCATAGTTTGAATTATCCCTTCATCTTCTCAATCTTTCGCAGAGATTTAATTAATTAAATACACTTCACACGAAATAAAGTTTGCTGGAAGATATACAGCAAACGATAACTGTAAAAACATGATTACGTGGAAAGAACAAGAGTTGGTACAGTAAAGGCAAGTAAGTAAGTACATGTAATGTATCGTATTGGCATAACGCTATATCCGCGGAGCAGATAATGTGGCTGTAGAGGTAGTCTGCAGTGCAGCTAATGTGGACGTAGATGTTGATTGAGATAATTGTCTAATATAAAATAGAATTTAAAAATTTAGTTTAAAAAGCTGTTGCATATATAAATAAAGTTTATTTTTTCTAAATTTGGAATATGTTTAATTAATTAATTTTTTAAGTCTATGTTTAATAAATTTTTTAAGTCTGTATTCAATAATTTTATTCATTTGATAAATACATGTATGTCTTTATTTTGATATGTTTAATATAATTAGAAATTCATTATTAATTAGATATGTAAACTATAAATTCATATATAATATTTGAAAATATATGTGAATATTTAAATTTTTATCTTCTCCTTCCTCTCCTTCAATCTCTTTAATATCAATATGTGTATGTGTGTACACGCGCGCACATTTGTACGTATTTATTTAATTATTGGATAGTTGAGAGTACTTAATTGATAAAAAATTATGACAATAATAATCCTTGTTTTTTTTTCTTATTATTTACTCAGATTTTTTTGTCTATCTTATAAGATAAACACTTTAGAGATTGAATATTTCAAGTAAACTAATTGTAAGTAAATTTCACATTAATGCATATAGATGTTTAATCATGAATGTACTAAATAAGTACACAAGACGAACAGTGAGTGAGTGAGTGAGAATGAGAGAGTGTGTGTGTGTGTGCGTGTGTGTGAGAAAGAGAGAGAGAGAGAGAGAGAGAGAGAGAGAGAGAGAGAGAGAGAGAGAGAGAGAGAGAGAGTTAGCCAACATAACCCCGCACGCTGCCGATCATGAATGTACTAAATAAGTACACAAGACGAACAGTGAGTGAGTGAGTGAGAATGAGAGAGTGTGTGTGTGTGTGTGCGTGTGTGTGAGAGAGAGAGAGAGAGAGAGAGAGAGAGAGAGAGAGAGAGTTAGCCAACATAACCCCGCACGCTGCCGATATGGCGGAGCGCCACTATCGCCATCTGTTGTAAAACGTGCGAGATGGACAAAATTACCACTACATGCATCTTGCATGTGTTGTGTACGTGTGATATATGTGTGCGCATGTGTTGTATACGTGTGAATACGTGTAGCACGATACTACTATGTATGCGTGGTCGATGATGATAATGATGATAATAATGATGACGGGGACGTTTCTTAATAGAAATTTTTCATATTTCGACTTTGCATTTATATATCTCTGCTTACAAATCACGTAGAGCAGAAATAAAGACACTTTTATTATATAATTCGAACTCAATCTATCGATTAAGTCTAGTATAAACTCGATTGCTTCAGCCATTATTGAGGATTCGAAATATTATAAAGACTCAAATGTCCGACTCGCGTTAAGATACACGGTGTCTCCGCTACGCCCTTAACTGGTCGCGAGACACTACCGTGTCTCTTGATGTCTGCGTTTTTACGCGGTCAGTGCCCGTTGCCAGGCAGGTGTAATACGAGAAGTTATAGCTATTTAGGGCTATAACAGTACAAATATATATAATAAATACAGCTGTATAAAAAAAGAAATAGTATTTTTAAATATAATTTATACGAACATTTAAAATAATTGTGCTCGAATATTTTCATAACTAATTTGTAGTCATTCTCAGTTCAAAAGAAAATATTTTAATCTTTTCTTATATGTTATTTATTTGCCTAAAAATGTTCTTTTCTTAACATAATATAATACCTAACACACTATATAATTTTCATACAAAATTATTTCTCAAAAAAGTATTTATAGAATTATAATCATTGATTTGATGCAATAATATGGACCGATGAGACATTCAATTATAAGCAAGCAATTAAAACCAAAAATAAAATGCGTTAGATTTAAGAAATTTACAAATATCTGTTAGATTGTAAACTATATTACAAAAGACTTAAAATACACTTTAAAGAAATACTAAAAAATAACGGAGTTCAAGAAAGACAAATTTTCTGTTTAAGATTTTAAACTTGTTCTTTTCAAAAATGGAAACATTAGCATTTAACAGTATAAAAGTATTTTCGATTTGAAAGTCATAAAATTATAATTCATTTCTGGTTAATTGTTGATTTCTAATCTACTATAAAACTTTTTTTTTTACATATTATAACATTAAAGGTGAGTTTCATCGGACAAATCTTTCGCGTGACATTTTTCTTGTTCAGAAGAATTAGCCTTTTCCTGCGTAGACATCTGTGACGTTGCAGTGCAAGTAGTTGATGTTACATTCATCTCATATCCGAATCGCTTCAGTAACATCAATTTGATATTCTTTTTGCATACAAATATGATAAAGATACAGACATTCTGCGTGAGTTCTATCAAATGAAGAGAATATTTTAGGTAAGCCCAAGAAGACTTATTTTCAACAACAATGATATCGCTATCACGGACCAATTTATACTCATCGTGATAAACAACATAATAAATAGCTTCAGATACAGATTAAACCTGCAAACAATTATATATTGATATTTAAATATCTTACAATCAAATATATCTTAAAATATCTTAAAATAAAATATTTTCATCAACTTATTTAAAGAAATTTTTTTTAAATAATGGAATATATTACAATCATCGAAAGAAAACACAAACAATTGTTTAAAGAATTTTATAAAAGCTGTGATTTCCTTCATAAAATAAATGCATCCATTAATTCTATTTACTATTTGCGACATTACTTGATTGCAGATTCGAGAATTACACTTTCTCAAAAAAGTTGATTATCATAGCAATACGTTTTTCTTAGATTCTTATATAAAGAAAGAAGCGACACCAGCGTTGCAATTTCAGATTGGCGATGCTTCTACCTGATTAAAACAGCCATATTGAGACCGCATTGAAGTTGAATGCTAGTTCAATGAAATTGACATATTTTGATGGGAGTCCGGTATTGCTTCTCTCATTATATAGGACTCTAGTTTTTCCTTTTTTATAAATTATGTAATTAGAAGGTATAAAAAAAAAGAATGTGCGCAACGAAAAAATGCTGCTTCTAAATAATAATCATATTTTCCTTCTACTAAATACAGATTAATATATGAAGTGACATTGTTGAAAAACATAATGGTAAAAATATACTGGCATAAATCTCATTAACAAAATAAATTATTGATGTAAAATATCTGATTACTGACCATTCCTTATTGTCATTATACCGCTTGCTTTCTGAATCTGTTAGACGAAAGCTTGTTTGCTTTTTACAGCGTGCGATCTTCAGTGCTGTAGAGAAGGACAAGCAAATGCTACCAATGACACAAACACTTTTGATTCCATAAAATGTAAACGGTTCTTTCTCTGTAAATATAATATGTTTGATAAATAATTTTTATACTGTTTCTTACAGTACTATTGTAAAATGCAGTCGCATAATCAATTATCTGAGATGTTCATTTACCAGAGAGCGAGCAATTTCCAAGTGTCAGTCGTACACAATTTCCAAGTGTCAGTCGTACAATCTTATTTGATGCAAGTTTGGTTGCGGAAATAGAATCTTTGATGACACAGATACTACTTATGATAAAGGCACAACCCCATACAAAGATCGCATAAAACACCAACTTCTTTTTTGCTCGATGTTTGACATTTCTTTGTAATAAACATCTCTGTAATATACATGTTATAAATAACAACAATGGGTAAAAGAAATAATAATGTAAAAGCATAAAATAATGTTTCCCTTTGATTAAGGCTTTCTCGAAAATCCATTCTATGTAACTACAAAATATATTTACGTAACACAACACGATACTCGATTACCATGAAAAATAGTATACCAATTCGTAGAACATTCAGAATTACTATATACACTGATCAAAAAATAATCGCAACACGCAATTAATATCAAAATTTCGCATAAATTCAAATAAGTGTATCTCCGCAAAAAATTATCGTATTTCAAAAAAATTTTTGTTTTAAATGGTGTAGTCTCTACTTTAAAAAACTTTCGTTCGAATTTGATTTTATCCTCTCTCTTTCTCTACCCTTTTAAAAAAGTAAGGTATGTTTTTTTTCAAAAAATTGCAAAATTTGATGAACTCTACGGAGTGAAATAAATTTTTTTTTTCGCAAATATCCAAATTTTTGTAAAATATGGTCTTTTTCCTACAAATTAAAAAAAGCAAAGTTCGTACGATTTTTTTGGCAAGTTCACCCTTTAAAAACAAACAAAATAGTATATTCTGTATCAAGTGCGGAAAGTTGACAATTGTCACGAGTGCGGGGGATAAACGCACGAGCCGGAGGCGAGTGCGACCACCCCACACGAGTGAACAATTGTCAATCCGCACGTGATATACGAGTGTGTTCAAAAAGTATCGCGAATTTTGAATTTCCGCGGGTTACGTATATTCGTTTTCGATTTTTTTTGTGGCGTTATGTTGGTACTCATGTTTCTCATTTTATCCGACAAGTACGGCCATTTTGAATGTTCAGTTAATTTTTGACAGCTGTTTTGCTTGCACGTGTTTGGCTCGTCTTTGATTTTTGCCTATTCCAAAAATGGATCAAAGAATCTGTATCAAATTTTGGTGTGAAAAACAAAATTAAGTGCGCGGACGCATTCCGAATGTTGACTGTGGCATATGGTGAAGCTACCTTGGACCGAAGCAACGTTTATCGGTGTACAAAATGTTTTCCGAGG